AGAAGAAGAAGAAGAAGAAGAAGAAGAAGAAGAAGAAGAAGAAGGCATCACACACACAGAAACTGGAGTGACAGGCAACTGTAAGCTGACAAGCAAGTGCTGGGAACTGAACCTGGGTCCTCTGCAATAGCAATAGATGCTTTTAACTTCTGAGCCATTTTGCCAACAAAATTGAAGGATTTTATAAAGCTGTCAGAACTGTGAGAAGAAAACATCCAGAACCTTCTCCCACCTGCCTCAAAGTAACATTCTAGGACCCCCCCATTTATGCATTATTAACTGCACAGCGAGAAACTTCTTCCACATACCCCAAAGTGAGATTCTGGGACACCCCCCAACTTATTCATTATTAACTGCACAAGGAGAGACACCCTACTCAGAGACAGTATTCCAACCACCAACCACTCCTCCTGGAGTCACCTCTGAGAATTCCTGGAAGGGCATATCTCACATGGTCAGGATGCAGGACAGTGGCCAGGAAATTGTCAGTGTGTTCCCCCAGACTATCTGATTCTTCCAGGGACCGAGTTTTGCCAGCATCACAGCCAGCAACAGGATTTTACTGGGAAAACCCAAGAAACCACATCTTCCAGGCCATGCCCTTTCTCAAATTCGCTCAGTGGACTCTACAGCCAGGGGCTGGGAAGCACGGCAGGCCTTTTATTTACTTCCCCTGGTCATCTGTCCTGATTTTGGCTAATTCTAACTCATTTTTACACCATTGCTTTCATCAGCACATGGTGTCAGGATGCTGTGATGGAGAGGACCCTGCTGAGAGCTAGGACTCCTGGGTCCCATGCCCAGATGAAACAAAAGTCCAAATGCTACATAATGCTCTTGTCCCAGCCGGAACATTGTTGAGGGGCTGCCTCTTGGAGTGTCGGCATCTTTGGGAGATTCCAGACCCTAATTTATGGGGAGGTGAGGGTTGGGAGTGTGTGGAAAAGGAAATGCTTTTCATGGTGATCTTTTGGCACCATAATGAAGGTTCCCAGTGAACTGTCAAAAGATCAGATGGGTGGAAAGACAGCGCCTTGAAACCTTTCACAAATATGCCTTTGAGATGAAATATTTTCATGGCATGGTTTCTTGTTCATAATTGTTTAGAAAAATAAAACTGAGGGCTGGAGAGATGGCTCAGCAATTAAGAGCACTATCTGTTTTTCCAGAGGACCCAGGTTCAAATCCCAGCACCCACATAGTGACTCACAGCTGAGTGTAACTTCTGTTCCAGGGAATCTGATGTTCTCATACAGACATACCTGCAAGCAAAACACCAATGTACATAAAATAAAAATAAATACATTTTTTAAAAAATTATAAGAAAAATAAAATTGAGCTGGAAATGGTAGCACATGCCTTGAATCCCAGCACTGGGGTGGCAGAGGCAGGAGGATTTTTGTGAGCTCAAGGCTTGCCTGGTCTTCATAGCCAGTTCCAGGGACAGACAGGGCTACATAGAGAGACCCTGTCTCAAAAAGAAAAAAGAAAAGAAAAAGAGAAAAAAAAGAATGTGCCTCCTGCTCTTCTGTGGCTTTGCGTTTCAGACACACCCTTCAGATGGGACTCTCTGAAGGCTGTCCCGTTGACACACAGACTCTCTGAAGGCTGTCCCATTGACACACAGCTCTCTGAAGGCTGTCTCATTGACACACAGGCTCTCTGAAGGCTGTCCCATTGACACACAGCTCTCTGAAGGCTGTCTCATTGACACACAGGCTCTCTGAAGGCTGTCCCATTGACACACAGCTCTCTGAAGGCTGTCTCATTGACACACAGGCTCTCTGAAGGCTGTCTCATTGACACACAGGCTCTCTGAAGGCTGTCTCATTGACACACAGCTCTCTGAAGGCTGTCCCATTGACACATGGGGAAAGTTGAGAAATTGGAGCTCAGATGGCTGCTACTCATCCCTCAGGTCCTGCACTTCTGTAGCCCTGCATGCAAAGGATCCCGGTGTGTGTTCTCGTCACATAGACATGCTAAACTCATACAGGGGATGACCCTGGGAGCTGCCATGATAAACAGGCTACACTTCTCAATGCTACCACATGACTAAAGCAGAGACAACTGTTGAGAAGTTCCATGGGGGAAATCGAGGTCCCAGCAAATGCACTTGGGTGCCCCCACCCCCTTTCCAAATCCAAGTCAGCACAGAGCATCCACCATTCTGCAAAGAAAAGTGGTGCTTCTCTTTAGCCACTTCCAGCAGCAGTGTCTGTTTTGGTGTGGCATCCCAGGACCTTTGATCCACTTTAGACAAAAATCACATCCATTTTCCGAAAAGCTTTCCAGATCAGCCTGCTGGTGATATGGCACATGCCTTTGATCCTAGCACTCAGGAGGCAGAGGCAGGCAGATGTCTGTGAGTTCTAGGCCAGTCTGGTCTACATTACAGAGTGAGTTCCAGGACAGCCAGGGCTACACAAAGAAACTTTGTCTCAAAAAAAGAAAGAAAAGAAAAGAAAAGGAAAGGAAAGGAAAGGAAAGGAAAAGAAAGAGAGAAAGAAAGAAAGAAAGAAAGAGAGAGAGAGA